TCTATCCACTCTGCCACCTAGCTGCCCCAAGAAGAGAAAGATTAGGGTGTTGTTCAATTGTTTTTCAGTTGTGTCTGACTCTTCATGACTCCAGTTAGGGTCTTCTTGGCAAAGATACTGGAGTAGTCTGCCATGTGTTTGAGTCTGGATTTGAACTCAGGTCTTCCTAAATCTGTCTAAGTCCGGTGCTTTATCCACTGAGTCACCTAACAGCTTGTCCCAATTTTACAGATGAATAAACTTTGGCTCCTGAAAGCTAACTGATTTATCCATTTTCACATAGCTAGTAAGTGTCAGAGATGGGACTCAAACGCAGGTCTCTTCTGACTCCAAGTCCAGCACTCCTTCTATACCACATTGCTGCAACAAGTGATTGATTACCCAAGGTCAGCTTAAAAAAGTAGGATGACAGATTGGGAAGAAAGTTGGATTTGCAGGTAGAGGAGGTAGCTGTGAATCCCACCTCTGTCACTTACCAGTCACACTTAATTGTGGGACCTTCACTGCATGGCCTAAATTTTTCTCTCTGTCCCTTCCAGCTCTAAATCTACATATGATCCTATAAAACTCTAGTGATGGGGAACCCACTAGCTCCTCAGACAGTTCATGCTGCTTCTGGGTGGCACTGTTATGAAATTTTTCCTTTTCTTTAGCTGAAACTGGACTCTGTAGCTTCTGCCCCTTGTTCCTAATTCCCAGATGTGCTTCTGATTCTGTGGACTTGCTACCATGATCCAGTGGCCTTCTCACTCTGGAATATTCCTCTGCTATGCCATTTGGTGAGTTCCTTCCAGGGGCTTCAACTTCAGAGACAGACCCATGCTGGCCATGCTTCATTCCCTTTTGAGCAGTGTTTCTTGAGGGCAGGGCCTGTCTTTTAGCTTCTGTTTGTATACATTCCTAGCACTTAGCACAATGCCTGGCACACAGTAAGCACTTAAGGTTTGTTGCCTCGCTTTGCCTAATTCTTTCCTCTGAGATCAAACAAATCTATTTCCTTTTATGTACATAGTTCTTCACATACTTGAAGACAGCTATTACATCCCTTCTTTTTTTCTCTTCTCCAAGCTTGATGATAGAGGGTCTTGCAGTGTCTCAAGGTCATGATTAGATATATCAGAGAGCACTGTACAGAATTGTAGATAAAGGAATAAGATTTGTGTTGCATATAGTATATAACTGGTAAATGTCGGTTGAGAATATATTAAGTCAGATCTGTCAGAAGGAGCTAAGAGCTATTGTTTTAAATTAAATTCTTGCTTGCTTTCATATTTTCCAATACAAATGGAATATAGTTAAAAAAAAAATCTAGTTGACTACTCCATCTGATACAATTTAAGTAAATTAAGTAAATACCATACTGTTTCAAATGACTTTTTCATTAATCAGTGCTTCATTATGACTAATAGAACCCATAATCACATTCCAAGGTACTGATACATAAATTTCTATCCTGAGAAGTGAGGCTGAGTAATAGACAAAAAATAAACAAATAAAAAAAAACCCTATGTATTTATTACTTATTGCATACTGAAACTGTAATGCAGCCCTCATTTTAGGAGACTGCTTTCCTAAGTAGAAGAAAAATCTGTTTTGAGTATATATTAAGTTTGTCAAGGTCAAGTTGGCTGAAAGACCAATCATGACTTCAGAAAGAAGATCCATAAGATCAACCATAAGTTTCCTGATCAATTAATGCTCCTAAATCTTCAAAGCTCATCAAAACATGAGACTACTGATAAAAAATGGCATCAGGATTATTGACTGGTGAATGTCTAAATAAATTTTAGTACATGGATGTAAGGAAATACTACTGTGCTAAAGAAATGATGAATATAATGACTATAGAAAAGCATAGGAAGACTTAACAAGAACTGATGC